TAAACACTATAATATTTTTAAAATATTTATTTATGTATACAGGAACTGGGGTACAGGCCAGAATTGGAAGGGGTGGTGAAAGGATGCACCAGAGACAGAGTGGGAAACAGAACAAACAGATATGATGAAACACACCTCTGAGGAGAGCAGCGGGTGGATCTGGAGAGGTCTGCTATGCATGTGGGTCAATCACCTCCCTGGCTGGGATCGAACTTGTGCTACAGTGGCTTCGGATAGCTTCATAGTGTTGTGCTTTAACCCGTTGTACCACCCAGAGGGCCCTCACATAATTTATCTTAATACATATTTTCTTCATAGATTTTTTTTTAACTAAGTTTACCCTTCTGACAGAAACTTTCTTTTAAAGTTTTGCATAAATTCAGCTTTTTTTTTTTAAAGGAATTTACATATTATGTTAGAGTTTCACTGGGTGATAGTCATTTAAGTCTCATGTCTGTTTTGTTTACATAACCTTTAAAACAAAGGTTTTGTGATTAAAACCAAAAAACTTTGTAAGGGATATGTGCAGCAATAAGGAAAAGGACAGATTTTCTTTTCTCTTTTGTTGATTTTTGGTTTACATTGTTTTATTATTTTCTTTCCAGAAATGAGATTTTTTTAAATTATTAACTTAATATTTTTCAGCCATATTTGTTTAGGTGGCTAGATGAACTCTTTACATGTAGTAGTATCTTAAATATCTCCCTGGTGGTGCAAGGGGTTAAAAAGCACAGCACTATGAAACTATCTATAGCCACTACAGCATGAGTTGATTCCTGACTAGGAAGGTGACCCACATGGCACAGCAGAGCTCTCCTGTCTTGACTGCTGCTCCCTCAGCAGTGTATTTCAGTGGATCTGCTTGTTCTGTTCCCCACTCTATCTCTGGTGAATCCTTTCATACCCCATATCTCTGGCCTGTACCCCAGTTCTTGTATGCATAAATAAATAAATCTTTAAAAATATATATCAGCTTTATTAAATTCACTTATAGATTACCTTTTTAAAAATGGACCTTTGTTTTTCTGAAACTATTACAGAAATTACTAAAACAGAAAAATGCTTAAATTATGCATGCTTAAAAAATTATGTGTCCCAAATATAACTATTATTAAATTTTGAAATTAGAGTTTATGGTGTTGAGGGTTTTGTGAATTTTAAAATTACCCCAAAAGGTTTAGAGACTATTGTTTCTTGAGAAATTTTAACTAAGCATATGGAAATTTACATTAAAACTTGTGATGTTTACAATTAAAAAAAAGAAAACATGGTTGAGAGAATGCTTAATACATAATTTACTTATTTAGCCATTTTAATTCAATTAAAATTAAGTAATGCTTTTTTTTTTTTTT